CTCGGATCAATATTCTTGATTCCCGCCTAGCTGGAGAAACATACCCAGAACATTTGAAAAGAGGAACATAGACTCTGTATTTTAAGGCGTTTGGCTGACTCGCGTTGGGATGCCAGGCTCTACAGAATACATATGGAAAATGTTTATACAACCAGTTATTAATTACTGTGTGAAATCTTTCTGTTACTGCTCCCAAACACTCCAATGCCTTGAGGTATTTCAAGTCAAGCCCTCCGTATCTACATAACTGGCGCTGTGAAATCTTTAGTCCTTTCTGCAGGCTTTGACCAACACCGGAAACAAGTCCATCCAGAAGGCAGTAGTGTGCTTGAAAACTTAATAGTTTGCTAACCCTTTCTGGTGAAATTGGCTGAACAGAACCAGTTTAGACTAAGGAGAGTTCTACAGTCAACCATGAAGGTCCTTGTTCTTTGTCTTCTTTGTGCCTTTGGATTCATTCATCTTGATCTTCATATGAGAGTAATAAGAGTGAAATGTCTCTAGCACAATATAAGCTTTGAAACAATCGATTCCCAACAAACGAATGGCTACATGATTTTACTGATTGTAGATAGATATCAGGGTGCTCTTCTGTGAATAGTTTAGCTTTTACCCCTACGATTAGGTATTTTTACTACTGCCTTCGATTGGAGCTATTACAGTACCGATCTAACAACTATCTAAGCTCCAGTTCCCAGCGGGCCGTAATCTTTTCCGACTCAACAGCTCTGTCTCAAAATTACCTCTGGTGTAGAATTTTAAAATGCAAATCGGTGTAAAGACTTTCCTCATAAAATCTCTTTTCAGTGGATACCGCCTCATTGCGACATTGCTGATTTTCTTGCTAAGGATCTTAGAAATCTTTCATTCTTTAAGGCTTGAATCTAGTATGACCTTTTAGCATAAGTTGGAACTGGCTCTAGAAAGCTGCGGTAGCTTTAAAGGTCGTGACGGGTGGATCTCTGAGAACTAGTGTCATAACTCACCGGACTGTACTCTGAGTGACTCTGGTCAGCCTATGACTGCTGGACATCTTGGTCGTGTGCCCTGCACTAATGAGCCTTGATTCAAGCGTCGAAAACATTGGAGAAACACGTGCACTAATGGCACCGTGCTATTCTGCTGTGTGGCATTTGTAAAATAAAAATACAGGGAAGAATACGGAGAAACGCGTTATTAAAAATACAGTCACATGTTTAAGCAAAGGGAATTGCTAGTTATTTATAGAAAGGACATCATTGTTTAAGGAATATTAATCCCCCGTTTTAGTCAGGCGTAAGAAAATAGTTATTGGTCTTGTATTTCTTGGAATAGCCAATAAATCCTCAAATTCAAATTCTAAATAATCAGTAACATACCAATATAACGTTTATAATGCTTTAGGAAAAGATAAATTGAGACGCGTTTCGAAGCAAGGTATTAGGATTTATAATTAGATGTTATAAATAAATTAAATGTAAAAACTTTTAGAACAAGCTTTTATTTGTAGCGCTAAAGAATAAAATGACTTTTCCTTTAAAACTTTTACTATCAACATAACGTCATTACACAATTTATATATGATATAAAAGCTTGTCGCAATATTTAAGTACTCATATTTACTTAGTTTGAATTTTATAAACCAAATCAATCAGGTCAAGTTATTTTGTTTATCTACACAAATTAAATCTCATGACAAGCTTTTATATCATATAGGGTGTGTAATGACGTTATAAGTTGATAATAAAAAGTTTAAAGGAAAAGTTTATTTTATTCTTTTAAGCGCGTTTAAATAAAGCTTATTCTTAAAAGTTTTTACATTTAATTTTATTTTACTTTTTAGTTATCATGGACAGGTTCTCAGCCTGTTCAACTCATTGAACATACGCCATCCCTAGTTTAGTGAATTAATTCTCGCAAAATGGTATTAGACTAAAACACAATTTTTAATCCATAATTTTAAACAATTTTTCAATCTTATGCAGATTTTGGTATGCTTGTATTGTTCAGAAAAAGGTTTAGTGAGATTATCTTCCATAATGACAAGTTATTAATCGTAATTAAATTTTGACTATTTTTGAAAAACTTAAGTATATTATTTATTTGAAATATTTTGAGATAAGGGATGTATTTCTCTAATATAATGAAGAATTTTAATTATTTATTTAAAAACTTCAAAGGCATTTAAATATTTGTATTAATCAATAAAATGCTTAAGACTAAATATTTGTAATCAAAAGAAAGTTTTATCAAAATGATAAATTTTGCTGGACATTGAATATCTTCTACGTAAAATCTATTTTTAATTGCTCAGATCATCTTTAGAAACTTGATTTTGAAAAATCAATAATTAGTCAAATAAAACAGATTCTATTTGTAATTAATTAGGACACATATCACAGTAATTGTGATTTTAAGATTACTGGTGATAAAATGAGGTATATTTAAATTATAAATGAGCTTAAAATTAGAAAATTTCTTTAAAGTACTTCATTTTATTGTAAATTATTTTTAATCGAAAATATATTGCATTCTAGATAATATTTTCTCTTATTGTTTTCAGCAGTTCTTTTGATGGGTAGATACATTAAAATGATCTTCTGTAATTATTTTTGTCTGAGTTTCATGATTAAGTTAGATAAATTATTTAAAATTTCTTCAATACTCCATCTCGTTTAGCAGCGTTGAAGGTATACAATCTGCCAATCTACTTGAAAATACTCTACTTTTTGTTTTGAATTTAAATCAAAGTAAATGTAAAAATTGCGCACGTTAGAAAATTAGATTGTTTTACGTTGCCAGAAATGTAATTATTTTTAGACAAAGTTAATTAATACTGTCAATAAGCGCAACGTTATGAAATTCCAGTTGGCTGAAAACCGATTTTCGACACCAACTTTTGTCGGTATAACAATAAAATTATTAACAATGCAGATATATCAATTGTACCCAAAACTAGTTTGTTTTAGTGGTAATATCAGATATAAATAAAACATACATTGTCATCCAAACTAAACGTGTATACAAATTTCAGCTCAATGAGAAGATATCAGCTTCAAAATTAGTTGCAAGATTCTTGAACAAATTACATACATACATACATACATACGCCATACGCCATATACATACGGTATAGTTAAGTAAAAGCTTTTAATTAATAATAATAATAAAGAGATTCGAATTATGAATAGATATCAATGTAAGTTATTAGAGTTATATATTATTATTATTATTATTATTATTATTTATGTTTAGTATATTGTGTTTCATTAGTAAATTTATATTATTATTTATGTTCATATATTATTTATTTATTAGTATACTTATTATTTATGTTTAATATATTATTTATTAGTATATTTATTTTTTTATGTTTAATATATTATTTATTTATTAGTACATTTATTATTATTTATGTTTAATATATTTATTTATTAGTACATTTATTATTTTTTATGTTTAACATATTATTTATTATTATTTAAATTGTGTTAAAAGAATATATACTATGAATAGAGGTTTTTGGCGATCTTTAAATTTCAGTCTCATTATCAATGCGGTTAACATCACCTTGATCTTTGGACGTGCTTCATCAAATAGAAGAATTGAGCATACTCTAAACTAAAATTCAACCTGTGTCCCTACCCCAAACTGCTTTGAATATTTTTGTTGGTGAAAAATGAGAGAATTTCTTTTCAGATGTTCCTAGATGATGCCCATCGTGGGGGTAGAGGACGCAGCTAGACAGATCGTCTCGGCCATCAGGAAGGAAGATTTCATCGTCACTCTGCCGAGAAGAATACATTTCACCTTATGCCTCGCTAGGTAATATATATAAGGAGACTGTGTGTTTTAAATATTTCATGTACTGGGTGAGTGAGTATTTACTTACGTCACAGAATAAAGTAACAAGAAGGCTATTGAAATTTTGAAGTACGGTCATGTGACGAGGACGTCACCTGAACTAGAGTCTATTTGCTAAACAATCACACTACACAAACGGGAGGACGTTTGACCCTCGACTGATTTCACGGGCATCACAGTTCCCCTCTATACTGCCGGTTTTCAATGACACTAGATTGAACACTGTATCCTAATGGTCAAGCTCATGGACTCGTGACTAGCATGTCAAGAGTTCGAGCCTAGTGACTCTGAAGACTCGCCGTGTGGATGGGGCCGCAGTACGTTAAACCTGTCGACTCTCAAACATCCTCCCGCTGGTGTGGTATGTAGTTAGGAGAAGGAGGTGTCAGTTCAGTTGTCGTCATCGTCACTTAATCATGGATTAAAGTTATGAGGTCCGTCACCAATAACCCTCGTGCAGCTTTATAGTGTGACTTTAAAATTTATCTCACTCACTGATACTAGGGCTCAAAGGCGATAAATTCGTTCCCTGGGAGATATTCAATCTCGTACCAACCGAAGTTTTATGCACAAGCATTTTCTCAAAATGCATGTACAAATAAGCCAGCTTCTGTTTAGTACTCATTTTGAATTTGTGACCGCAATGTTAAACTTTTTTCTTCATAGCATTGATTTGAATGCAGTCAAGTGCATCTGAAAGAGCAACAACAATAATAATAGAAGTTTCTTTGGAATTGCACGTTCCCTCTGATTTCTGAAAATAATTTTCAGTTTATTTTAAGAATTCACATTTGTGTGTGTGTGTAATTTCTTACATTTTAAGAAACATTTAGAATTTTTCAGAATCGGATAGAAAATGGGCTCAAAAGAAAAAATTTCGTCATTTTTTTTCAATTCCTACTATTGTTCACTCTCTCTCTATATTTATTTATTTATATATCTTGTTAAAATTTCCATTCATTAATAAAATACTTTCTATTTACCCATTAAATTTCAAATACTATTTTTAAAACTTGTAGTGGATGACACTTGGTGTTAATACAGTTTCTTCAAATATTAATTCATTAATTAAATTAAAAATGAATAAATAGTAACAAACAAAAATAACAGTCCAACAGCATATATAGAAAGGAAAATTATTCGTTCGTTGTGTCCCTGTAGTGTAATGTATAGCGCGTTGGATTTCTAATCCAAAGACCATGGTTTCGAATCCCACATCCGATGGCCTAATTTTTGAAAATGCGATTTCTTTTTTTACTATACTATTTTATTAGAATAGTTGAATTTAATTAATGGATAAATAGTAACAAACAAAGAAAAAATATCCAACACCCTATATAGAAAGGAAATTGAAAATTGCGAGGAAATCGCTTTCTATTTGGTCACTTTATATTGTGATTCTTTTATGTGTATATACATATTTATATTAATTATAACTATTTAGTAAAAAATAACTAAAATATAAAAAATTTCTTTTTTGACCTATAGGATTTGACTTAAAAAAGTTTTTTTTTTTTATATTACTTGTTTATCTTTCGGATGCATTCAAATCAATGCCTTAGTCTACGTTTGAGGAGAAGGGAACAATTCTAGCATTGAAATCGCCAATTCAAAACGTCGGAAGCCAAAATATAGTTGCTTATATTAGTTAAGATACGTTGCACTGAACTACAGAGATATTTGGTTTTTCGTTTATTCGTGCAGTTTTCAAATTCCATCAGAAAAAAAGTGCAATTTTACTTTCGGCTTGATACATGAAGAATAAAATTTCGAAATCGAAATAAGACGTTGAATTTCTCGCCAAATTTGGTGATATTTCTTATGATGGTTTAGTAAACCCCCCTAAGAATAAAGTAATATATCTAACATCCAACTAAACCCATCATCCTACAAAATTTGAGTTAAATCCGTGCTCCCACTCTTCTTGTAAGAGGTCTTCATCGCCACCTCGTGGACAGTTCAAATCCTGGGGCCACTTAATGCATACAGGGGCTGATCCATGATAAGCTCAAAGTCCTGACGTTGACGTGGTGGGGAAATTGGCGTCAGAGCGTCGTTGTCGATAGCTCTGTGCTGTTTCAGATAATCAATCAATCGATTCCACTGTTTGTAACCATTTAAAAATTTTTTTTAATTCAATTTATTCATTCATGTTTGAATGTGAAATTCGCAGATTAAATCCTGCGTGAAATAGGAAACCAAATAAATAAGGAAAAAATAATTGAAAACAAGTAATATAAAAAAATTTTAAGTCAATCCTACTTAGGTAAACAAAGGAAAATTACTTTTACTTTTATTACTTTTACTTTTTATTAAATAGTTACAATTAATATAACTATGTATATACATATGACAGAATCACAAAATTAAGTGGCAAAATAGAAAACGATTTTCCTCGCAATTTTCCTTTCTATATAGGGACTATTTCTTTTTGTTTTTGTGTTACTGTTTATTCATTAATTAAATTTAATTAATATAATGATATAGTAAAAATGAAGGCACATTATCAGAAATTAGGTGGGATTCGAACCCCTGACCTTTAGGTTAGAAGTCTGATGCGCTATCCACAGGGACACATCGAAAGATTTTCCTTTCTATATATTCTAGTGCACTATTACTTTTTGTTACTATTTTTTTCATTTTTAATTCAATTAATGAATTAATATTTGAAAAAACTATTAACATCAAGGGTCATTCATTACAAGTTTAAAAATATATATTTGATTTTGAATGGATGAATAGAAATTATTTTATTAATGGTTGAAAATTTGAAAAAGATATATGAATAAATAAATAAATGTATAGGGAGAGAGTGAACTAATAGTGGGAACTGAAAAATACTCTGCTTTGACTTGTGAAATCCAGTTGCAGATGAGAATTGAGAACTTTCGCGAAAATTGGCGAGAAATTCGGCGACTTGAATCGATTTAGACATTTTGCTTATAACATCCTCAAGTCGACACAAATTATAAGGTTATTAACGGGAAACTCGCTTTTAAATCTTACTAATGAAGCATTGTGCAGTTTTTTTTAACGAAAATCAGAAATACAAATTGTTTAAAAGATTCATAATTCGTTTTCTCAGAAGCCATTTTTTTAATTGCAATGTAGTATGATGAGCAGCTTTTGTTTTTCGGAATTGCCCAACCCAAGAAAACAATAGATTTTCCGCTTTGTAGCGTCATAAAATCAATTACAGTTCTTTATGCCGAAAAGAAACCAACACTAAAAAAAAAATAATAATCCAACTACACAGTAATTGAATGCCTACAAGGAAGTCGTCTCAAAAATCCTCACTTCCTCCTGTTAAATATTTCATGTGAGGTATTTTTACGTGACGTTAAGGAAATTTCATGACGTTATTCGATAAAAGGCTGTTCAAATAAGATTTCCTTCCATTCAATAGGCACGAAAATTGCCGCATAATGTTTGGTTAAATATGTAATTTAAAAAAAGATTTTCTTTGAAACCGAAGTTATCATAGAAATTAAGGCTCCAGGCTGTCAGCCTTTTAAAATTCTTTTGAATTTTTTTAAATCTTATAGAATTTCCTCCTTTTTAGCGCAGGTGTCGTCCTCGTCACTAAACTGGGCTTCAAAATGACGAATGAATTCTGCCACCAACAGCCTTCGTGTTACTTTATAGTGCGATTTTATTAACAATTCACTCACTCTAAGGCCGGGTTAAGCATTACGTCAATCGCGATCGACCGGTGGACCACCAAGACAATTTGGAGTGACCGCCTGAAGATTAGCCGTTAGTAATTGTATACGAATATATTCAAGATTGGCTGACAGTACGCAAACTAAGTCTTCTACAGACTATAACTACGAGAGCTAACTTTAGAGTGAGTAAGTGAATATTAACGTCGCACTGTTCAGCTACACGAGGGCTTTTGGGGACGGTCCGCGTAATTTTGAACCATAGTCAAGTGACGCGGACGACACCTGAGCTGGCACCCCTCTCCTAATTACCACGCCACACCAACGGGAGAACATTTGAGATTTGACAGATTTAACGTGCATCGCGCCCTTACACGGTGGTTCTTCAGTGGTACTGGGATCAAACTCATGACAAGCTAGCCACGGTCCGATGCCTAGACCACTCGGCTACCGCTACCGCAGCTAACTTTAGATAGAAATGTTTTATTTTTTTAATGTATTTTGAGTTGTTCCATGATAAATGCATCATTAGATATTATTATATTTGTTTCTATTGTGTCTCATGTTTGTATTTTGCGTTTTGCTTTAAAGTGTGGTTTCAAAAAAGTGAGTTTTTTTCATTTTATTTACGTAGGTATAAGTACATATATATTCCATATTTTTTTTAGTTATAATAAATATTGTTGACTTTGTCCTTCACTCACCACACATACGACCCTGGGCAGTGGAGGTCACTCGTAAATTTTTAAAAGGGTGCCTGGTTCGCTGTGGTCCAGGGTCAAATGTGTACCATTTTGTAGACTGTCGGGAATAAAGAACAAGAAATAAATTATTTAATAAATAATTATCATTAATTAATAAAAGAATTATTAATGACAAATATTTAATAAAATACTATGTACTATATACATGGGATAGTAATCGACCGAAAAAAATCATGGGCTATGGAGGAGGGTCCGGACACGTGGACCCTACTCCCCCACCTTTGTGCGGGCCACTGATACTGGTTGGACCGCAACACCTTGAAAAAATTAGAAGCAGCCCGTACGCTGGAATAGTCTGTTCACCCCTGCTCTAAGGGATTGGCATCGTACCTCATAATTTTGATTCATGGACAAGAGACGAGGACGACACTTGAGCTAGTACAATGCTCGAAACTTTCACATCATGAAAACGGGGGGGGGGGGTATTTGAGCATCGGCAGTTTCAACGTACGTTATATGGCGGGTCTTCAATAATACCAGGACCACGACTGAAGAGAAGAAACATCAGACACGAGTTCACAACCATGGCCACTTGGCATCATTCTTATTAGTTCCAAGGGAACTAACTATATTGTGATTTTAATGGGTTGAATAATTAATTAAACTACAAAATAATTAACTTTTAAAAATACGGATACCAGTTTTTATTCTCAACAAATGATTTCTCATCACGAAATTAATCGTGCATCTCAAATTTCATATAATTTTGTTGAAATATTCTCAGCTATAAGGGGTTTAAACATGGTTCTTGTAATAACAAATGGAATGACTAATGTTAATGTCCGGAATTTAGCTATATAAAATTTTAACACTTTTCAAAACTCTAAAAAGAAACAAGAATAAAAGGAATTGTGAAATTCAAAATATGAGGATTTAAATGCGGTTACGAAACAGTAAATTTAATTATTTTATTTCCTCATATCTCTAACTTCAAAATTTCGCCCAATTTCCTTCAACTATTTATTAAATATTCGAACTTGCAACCTCAAATCAGAAACGCCTCAGAATTTTCACTTTTTTACAATCAATAACTCGTGGATAAAAAAAACTACGAGAAATACTTTTAATTGATCAGCTATTAATTAATAATAACAATATTAATAATCAATAATACTCATTAATAAGCAATATAAAAATATTCAAGTAAAAATTAATTATTGAAAAATATATATATAAAGAATTATAACTGGAAAAAGAGATTTAAATTTTTTGAAGAGATTTCTTTACGTGCGTTTTTGCTGAAGAGGGAATGTAAATGAAGCGTCGCCTGCGTTACACTGAATCGGGTTTATTCGGCTCGGGTCAGTAACGCCTGCTTAATTTTGAATTGAAAATTCTTTAGGCGCATGTTTTTTTCTGAGATAAAATTTCATGCCCATTTTTTCCCCGTGAAATTTTATTTTCTTTATTTAAATGTTGTAACGGGTCTATCCGCTAGTTTTCATTAATCCTCTTGGGGGAAATTTGTTTCTCTTAAATGTTATTCTATTGAAACCTTTCTCCCGAAGAAGACACGGTTAATGCACATGACGGGTTATATTTAAGCATTAACTTTTAAATACGCAAAGTTAGTGGCTAGTGGAAAGTAGTTGAGAGAGCGAAAGTTAAATGACGATTAATTGCAAATGATCAAATATTGCTAACTGACGATTTAGTCATTAAGTTAAATTTGAATAATAACGAACGCAGGTCGCGAACAACTCTGAACGGAATTACGGTAATTTGGATCGTAGACACCCAAAGTGTCCCAAGAGTAAGTTAATTTTTTCTGCCGTGTAATTGCTCCTGCACTTAG